GGGGGGCACAGGGGGACCCCTGTGTGTCGGGGGGGCAGAGCCCAGACTGACGGGCACCTGGGACATTGCTGGGAGCCAAAGGCCCCCCACCCCCCCGCAGGATGGGCCGGGGCTGGGGGGGGGGTAACAGAACACACAGGGTGAGGCCCCCAGACAGAGATACCCAGAGCTGGGCTGGGCAGCCTGATCCCAACACGCCTGTGGGGCCACATGTGTCCACCCCTCCCCCACACCCCCCCCGCCCCACACAGATCAGGGCCCGGCCGGTCCAGCAGGGGGCACAGGGACACACACGGGGGGCCGGGGGGGGGTTCCCACTAGCTGCGTCTGGCGGTTCCTGGCGTTGCTGAGCGTTACCCCGGGATGTCGGGGAGTCGCTGGCCTGTTGTGGCTGCCCCCGGGGCCGTGGGGCCGAGCAGGGGCTGGGGGGGGGGGGGCTGTCCAGCTCCATCCGCGCTTGCTGAGCGGTGCCAGCCGCAGGCCAGGGGCTGCAGGGCCAGGCCGGCTCCCCACCCCTCCCGGGGCTCTGTGGGTCGGGGCGATGGGGAGCTGGGCTCCGCGGCCAGGTGGAGGCCGGAGCTCAGGACAGAGGAGGCCGGGGGAGAAATAAGAGAGACTGATACAAACTGATGTCCCTCACTCCCGACCTGCAGCCCCCTGCTACCCCCAGCCCTGGGCTCCCCCCAGCTCTGCCAGTGCCCCTCACTCCCGACCTGCAGCCCCCTGCTACCCCCAGCCCTGGGCTCCCCCAGCTCTGCTGGTGCCCCTCACTCCCAATCCAACAGCCCCCTGCTACCCCCAGCCCTGGGCTCCCCCAGCTCTGCTGGTGCCCCTCACTCCCAATCCACAGCCCCCTGCTACCCCCAGCCCTGGGCTCCCCCCCCCAGCTCTGCCAGTGCCCCTCACTCCCGACCCACAGCCCCCTGCTAGCCCAGCCCTGCCCCCCCTACGTCAGGACCAGTTCCTCCCACCTGCTGACCATTGTGGGGCCATCCCTAGGGGGCGCAGTTCTGCCCCATGTCCCGTCCCTGGCAGGCGGGTGGATCCCTGGTGCCCAGCAGGGCGTGAAGGGGGCTGTGCTGGGACCCAGAGCCTGGAGTGACTGGGCTTCTCCTGGGGCGGGGGGGCAGGTGAGTCAGGGGCAGGGATTGACTGGTCAAGAGGCCCCCACCCTCCCTGTGAAGATCGCCATCCGCCCTGTGCGGTCAGACAGGGCACGGCCAGGAGGAAAGTCAGCCTCACTGAAAAGAGAAGCAGCCGAGGGCGAGAAACAGGGCACGTGGGGAACAGGAACCAACAGAAACAGGCAACAGACCCCCCCAGCCTGACACAGACCCCCCCACACCTGACACAGACCCCCCCAGCCGGACACAGACCCCCCCAGCCTGACACAGACCCCCCCCACGCCTGACACAGACCCCCCCAGCCTGACACAGACCCCCCCAGCCGGACAGACAAGCTGGGTCACAAAGCCCAAACCAGCGTTGCCCATCGGCTCCAAACACCCACTAAACCAGTCTCCTGGGGCACTGTAACCAGACACGGCTCCCTGGGCCCCACCCAGCCCGGCCCCCCCTGCAGTGAAGGACAAAGCCCAGAGGGTCCCAGCCCAGGGGTGCAAATCAGGCCTGGCCCAGCGGGGCCGACCCTCGGCTTACCAGGAGGGGGCAGAGAGCTCCCTCCCAGGGCAGCCCCGTCCGTCTGAGCCCTGCGGGGAGCTGGGCCGCACTTCGCCAGCAGGGGGCAGCAGCGAGTGCCCAGCCGGGCTCTGGGCCAGACACACCGGGGTTTGGGTTACCAGGCGTCCGGTTGGCACTGGTGACCCGGCCATTACAAGGATGGTCGGTGGCCACGGGGCCTGGGGCTAAGGCAGGTTCCCTGCATGTCTTGGCTCCGTGCGGCTCCGGAAATCAACCAACCTGTCTGGCTCCCAGGCGCTGCTCCCACCCCCAGCACCAGCCTGGCCGCGCTTCTGCCAAGGAGCCGGAGGGACACGCCGGCCGCTTCCAGGAGCGCACACAGGCACAGTCTGAAGGGGAGCATTTAAACCACGCTGGCATTGCCACACATCAGCTGTGCAAGGGGCTCTATTTCTGCCAGGGGTTAGTGACATTTCTGCTTGTTTACTGGAGGTGCAGGAAGAGGTGGTGGGACCTGGCGAAAAGGAACAAGTGAAGCTGTTCATTTCCAGCAAGGGGTGAGGGATAGATCCGTGTATATGTGCGCGGGACTCACCCCTGCGGCGCCTCCTGCTGGTGTCCAGGGAATTAGCTCGTTTCCAGCCTTGGAGCCCCCTCTGCAGGCCGGTGTCCCACTGCCGCTGGGCCCCCACATCCCTCCCTGGACTCCGGTGCCCTGTTATCTGGGGTGCTGCCCCTGGCAGTGACCCCTCACTCTCAGGGGGTCTCACCTCCCCAGGGAACCCCCACCCCATCCCCAGCTCTCCTCAGTCATAGGCTACTGCCAGTCACAACTCGCCCCCGTGCCCTGGGGCAGACTGCAGGGTCAGCCACTCCTCACAGGCAAGGGGGGTCTGGACCTGCTGCCTCGGCCTGTCCTTGGGCTGCCCCCGGCAACCCCAGTCCCTGTTTGCCCTTAGACTAGGCCGCAGCCTAGGGGGTTCCAGGCCGGAGCTCCCCAGCTCCCTTGGCCTTCCCCAGCCCTGCCCCACTCCAGGTCCCTTCTCTAGCTCCCTGCAGCCAGGCCCATCTCCCTCCACCGCTACAGGAGACTGTGTGTCTGCCCCTGGCTTTATAGGGCCAGCTGGGGCTGTTTGGGGCATGGCCCAGCTGTGCTGCCCCCCCAGTCAGCCCAGCCCAAGGCTCCCAGCCCCCGCCAAGGGCCGGCTTTTAACCCCTTTGGGCTGTGAGCGGGTGACCACCCCGCTACAGTACAGCACCGGAGTGAACATCAGAGGATCTGTTTCTTCTCTCCGCTGAAAGAAATGCAGCTCTTGCCTTTCCAGATGTGACTGACTTCAGAAATAAAGTCAGAGGTGGAGCGATGCCTGTCCGGGACGCAGGAGAGCGTCTTCTGATTCTAGTTTGGGGGAAAGGAGAGCGACCACAAATACACATTCAGCTTCAGCATCAGGGCCCTGGAGTCAGGAGAACAGCACTGACTCGGACGGGGGGGGGGGCACATTGGGGTTACGAAACTGTCTGGAGGGCCGGGTAGGGAAGGCTGTGCCCCCCCAAACAGCCTGGGCCCCACCCCTATTCGCCCCTTCCCACTTCCCGCCCCCCTCAGAACCTCCAATCCATCCAACTCCCCTGGTCCTTGTCCCCTGACTGCCCCTTGGCCCCTAACCACCCACTGCCCTTAACCGCCCCTCCTCCCCCCCACCCCGGCTCCCTGCCCCCTTGCCATGCCCAGCCCTTAGGGCCATTTAGAAACTGACAATAACAAATGTTAGAAAGTGAAATCTGTCCCCTTTCATCTTTGCCTCTGTCCTTCTTTAAAGAAAAAAAAGCTGCCCTCCCCCTGGGACCTTCCCTCCAAGAGCAGGGTGTGCCCCCCATCCCCCTGCAGCTCTCCCCACTTGTTCCCTTCATTTTCTTTCCCCTTTCTGGGGCTATTTCCATCAGATCTTTTGTCTTTTTGCTCTATTTACTTCCTGCATTAGGGTGGACTAGGCCAGAGGGTCAGGTTTGGAAGGGCTCTCAGGAGGTATCTAGTCCAACCCCTGCTCAAAGGGGGTCTAAGCCCCAGGCAGATTTTTGCCCCAAACCCCTACATGGCCCCCTCAGGGACTGAACTCACAACCATACATGTAGCAGGCCATTGCTCAAACCACTGAGCTATCCCAGGTCCTGCCAGACCTAGCCCAGGCAAGGAGCAGTGGATCTAAGTCCTCCGAGCAGCCTAGAGAGACTGTACAGGAAGCGACCAATCAGGGACAGTCTGCAGAAAGCAGCCAATCAGGGCTCAGAAGGGCCCTATAAGAGGAGCTGCAGCGGCACAGCCAGTCAGTCTCTTGTTGGAGCTGGAGGAGAGTAGAGGGGCTCTTGGCTGGCCCAGGGCAATGGCAGCACCATGGACAGCTCAGGGCAGGCGGTGAGGACAAGCTCCCGGCTGTTTGCTGGGCCTGGACGTAGACGAGCCCGGTGGTGAGGGTGACGTGCTGGCGAAGGCTGGGGCTGTGGGGAAGTGACCCTGGGAAGTAGCCGTGGTGTGTGGCTGCTATTCTTAGGCTCCTTGGGCTGGGACCGGGAGTAGTGGGTGGGTCTGGGTCCCTCCCCTCCCATAGGCTACTGGGGAAGTGGGCTGATGGTTGACGTGTGATCCACCCCCAGAAGGGGAACTGAACGGCTAAGAGGCCCAGCGGGGGCCAGAAGAGACCCCGTGGGTGAAGATGATTGTCTCCAGGGAGGCAGAACTTTCTGGTTTGATACTATTTGAAGGCTGCAGAGACACTTGTCCAGGGGGTGCTCATGAGAGAGGGGAGCCACCCTGTTATATACCCTCTTTCCCTTGCTGTTCTTTGGTTGCCTCCCCTCCTGGCCCAAAGCTTCCCAATCTCCTGCTCTGCTCCCTGGCTGTTTCTAATCGGCTCCAGGTGCTAACAAAGAAGCAAAGTCAGATTCAGATACTGAACGAAGGAGTCTTCTAAAAAACCCTGTAGAAAAGGGAGACTGACAAGCCCCCCCCCCCATCAGGTGACCTTCCCCGTGGTGCAGAGAGCTGGGCCAAGGCCTGTGCCCCAGGTAAACGTGCAAAGCAGGGTTTAGCTCACACCGTTCACACACAAGCTCAGAGTTGTGCACTCCACTGTAATGCAGAGCGGTGGCATTTCCCCTGGGTCAGCCCCATAAGACCCTACTGCAGTAAAAACCCAGCCCCGGCCTTCCTACCCCTTCCGAGGAAGCCGTGTGACTGTTCCCAGCTGTGATGGGGAAGGAGACCAGGGTAACGTTCTGGCCCCACTGACTCAATGGGAACTTTGCCATTGACTCCCGTAGTGCTGGGAGCTCACCCGTAGCCCTGCTGATTGCTGGTCAAACAGAAGCATGCACACGCCTCTCAGTTCAATGCACACGGGGGGTGTTCGTTAACCAAGAGATGCTCGGCTGTCGGAACGACCTGCAGCTGCGAACGCTGGCAGAGTCCGACTGGGGGACTGGATGGGGGGTCAGCCGGGAACACACGACTGCGGGTGCTTGGAGAGAGCAGCTGTGGGGGCAGAGTGGGGGGCAGATGGAGGGAGGTTGAGTTGGGTGCGTATCTAGGGGCTCGGTAGCATGGTGGGAGGCAGGAAGGGAGTGAAGCATTAGGCATTACCAGAGGGTTCGTGTCCTTTCGCAGAAGGAATGACAAGTGGGCACCAGACGAGGATTTACTTGTCAAGGGACCTGTGTTGAGGATCTGAGGACGGAGCTGACGTGTGCTTGGAGCTCTAAGGGTGAAACGATAAATCTGACCACACCGATAACAGCAGGTGCTGCTGTTCCTGGCCAGGTGCTGGGGCAAAACTGCTCCACCAAGAGACCACCCAGGTGGTAGCTGCTGGTACTGTGCCCCCCCCGCCATGCAGCTGCCAGGTGGGCGATTGTCTAATCCCATCACATGCGGCAGAGACGGGGCCGATAATCGCCGGGTTCTATGTAGTGTTTTACTCGGGCTGAATCTGTGTCTCACACTGGGGAGAAATGAAGCCGTGTTAATTTATGGAAATGCCAGATGTGCAGTGGTTGCTCACGGCCCCAGAGGCAGGTCTCCTCTTCAATTGAGACCCGATCGAAAGCCCATCGTTGGGAGCCCCTCCCTTGACTTTAACAGACAGTGGACTGAGCGCCAGATGTTTTATGTGACTAGGTTAGATCATGTCCAAATCCCACTGCCATTGTCCTGCCTGCTGGGTAATGTTCTCTGCCCGGGCCCATAAGGTTCCCAGGCAGACTCTACCCATTCGTCTCCCAGTTGTTCATGTCCCCAATTCCCCGTTGTCCTCCTACCCAGGTTCTCCCTTCCCTGTAATGTTCCCGTTGCTATAGACAAGGCGTTCTACACTGGACAGCGGCTTGACCTCAATGTTGCAGCAGGACCCCTGTGGAGAGCTGGCTGGATGTGACGAGTGAGCTCTCCTATGAGTGGAAGGCAGCAAAAAACCCACCAACAACCCCTCAGCTGTAGATAACAGACAACCCCGAATGTGAAAAGTAGGGCATGTTCCTGTCACTCCGAGTAATCACCAATCTTCTCAGAGGCTGCTGGTGGTGGGAGAGGTCTGGGACCTGTGTCAGACCCAGCTCACCCCACGGCTGGAAGGAAAAGCCGTGCTGAAGAGCACCTGACTGCTCATGGAGTGGCAGGGGCTGTACTAAAGACGGCATCAGATCAGTGTCTGGTGACGTAACCCCGTGGAAAAGGAGGTCCTGAATTTGGGGGAGTTTAGGTACAGGCTGAAGTCTTTATGCGGAGGTGGGCCTCAAACACACAGGAAAAGAGACTTTGGTTTTCTAGGTTTCAGAGTAACAGCCGTGTTATGCTCTAATAAATTTGTTAGTCTCTAAGGTGCCACAAGTCCTCCTGTTCTTCTTTTTTTGGTTTTCTAGAGCTTGGTGAACTCATGGGGAAATGGGACTGTAGCGGGTGGTCACCCCGCTCCGGCTAGGGAGGGGTTAAAAGCCGGCCCTTGGAGAGGGCCAGGGCTGAGGGAGAAAACCCTGGGCTGATCGGGGAAACCGCCACAGCTGGACCATGCCCCAATCCGGCCGCAGATGGCCCTATAAAGGGGCTGCTCGGCTGAAGCTCAGACAGTCTCTCTCTGCGTTCAGAGAGAGAGGGGCCTGGCTGCTGGGATGCTCAGGGTGTCTAGCGTGAGGCAGGGCTGGGGAAAGGCCAGAGGGGCTGGGGAGCTCCAGGCTGGCAACTCCCCAGGCTGCAGGGCCTTGTCCAAGGCCCCCATAGGGGCACTGGGTTGCAGAGAGAGGCAGCAGGTCAATACCCGACCTTGCCAGTGAGGAGTGGCTGATACTGCAGCCTGCATCTCAGGTAAAAGAGCCCTGGGGCCTGGGGGGGGACATGGGGCCAGCGGCAAGCGGGACACCGGCCTGCAGAGGGCGCTCCGGAGGCTGGATGAGCTAATTCCCTGAGACGACCAGCAGGAGGTGCCGCAGGGGTGAGTCCCGCACCTCTACGGGGACAATAAGGGGGTGTAGATGATAAACAGGACTCTGCAGTCGTATTTATTTTAACAGAATTGCTACAGTCTCTGGTTTCCTTGCCCCCCCCCCCAATAAATAAATCGGGTGCTGGTCAAGTCCGGCAATCACTGGTGACGCTGGGAATTTTTCCCCACAAAAAACTCTGCTGAAAACGAACCGTTTTTGTTCCTGCTCAGATTTCTGTTTGAACCTTTTTAAAACGGACACTCGGAAAAAGTTTCCATTTTGTCAAACCAGCCGTGTTCTGTATGGACTGTTGTGCTGGGGAATGTGACTGACCTTTGTCTTGTGTTGCTGAAATGCTACACGCTGAAGAACTTGCGGTAGCCATGGGGATGTTTTAACAGTGGATGCCTTTAATTATGTCAATGATTAATATGATCAGTACAGTGTCCCCTGTGCTGTTTGTTTTTATGCCGTCTCTCCGTTTTTAATTGTGATTGTCCGGCCGAGTTTAGTATTAAAAATGCAAATCGTCTGGGGGATTTTCTCACTCGTTCCCATTTGTGAGATAAAGGCACCGGTTGGCTGTTAAAATGATCAGCAATGAAATAGTTAATGCAGACGTTCACAATTTGGTACAGAATTAACACGTCTGTTAAGATGCACTGAGCAGTTCACATCTCTGAGCGCTTGTTCCCGCCTGCAGGCTCAGGATGACGGCTCTGCAGGGCTTTTCTGACCCCACGAAGGCTGGACACCGAGGCTGGGATTGTTAAAGGCCCAGGAGGACGGTGACCAGATGCCATCGGTGGCGCTGTGGTGGGGGTGGCGCTGGCGCTGTTCAGTGCTGTCTGAAGTCAGCAGCCGCGCCGGAGTAAATCCCAGGGCTGTGGAACAAAGGGCAGGAGGCGGCTGTCAGACTCCCAGAGACCTTCCTCCCATTCCCCATGTGGCTCCGTCTTTGCTTTTCTCTCACACGCTGCCCCGCACATGCCAATGCGGTTCCTGGTTGTAACTAACCTGGGTGTCTCAGGCTCACCACGGCCGCTTCTCCCTGCGACCAGAGTGTGTTGCTGTCGTTCCACTGTTGTCTCCTGTGGTGCGATATCGGGGGACAAGCTGCTGCCGTCCCAGTATTGAGTCATTGTTTCTTGGGACATGGCAGATCTGGGGCAGGAGGCTCCCCTCTGAAATCCCAGGTCCCAAGAGGGGACTGACGTCAGGACAAGGAACACAAGAATCAAGGGAGGCAGGCAGGGCTCTCTACTGGTTCGGGCTCCAGGATCCCGTTCCTGGCTCTCACTAGACTCCCTGTGGCTTTGGGCAAATCACTTCTCCTGTGTCTCAGATTCTCCCATCTGTAAAATGGAGCGAATACTAGTGACCCCTCTGCGCCCGCTTAGCACACGGCTTTCTGCTCCTGTGATGGGGCGTGGGGCTGGTGGGAGTGCTCCTAACGGGGTTCACCTGCGCCGGGACCTCAATGTGCTCTGACCCCATTTTCACTTCAAATGACTCCACGAATGGGCAGGTGGACATGGGGTGGGGCTTCTTTCCAATGGATGGAGACCCCGCTGGGGAGAGCCGTGCCCCACCGAGCTGCCTTACGGAGTCTGCAGTGGCTGATCAAGCTGTGACCTCGGCTACACGCCTTTGCACGGGAGAACTTCCCTGGAGAGGGATTTCAAGGACGTTCAGTTTGGGGAGAACCAAAGGAGAAACTTTCAGCTTTCAGGCTTTCCTCGGGGAAGGGTCTTGTCAATTCTTGTGAGCCCCCCTCCCCGCCCCATCCCAGCTATAGTGATCTCAGCTGTACTGGTGCTGTGTCGGGGTCCCTCACTCGAGTTCACTTCCCTCTACAGCAGCTTCAGCCAAGATCCCCCTCAAGCCACCTCTTGCTGGGATGTCTCCTCAGTGCCACCTCTTGCCTTGTCCCCCTCAGTCTTGTTCTCTCCGTTCAGTCCCATTATCCGACCAGCTTGGAGCTCGATACTGTCCCGGTGAGGACCCAGAATGTCCTGGAGGATTTCAGATGGAAAGTGGAGGCCGTGAGGGTTTAGCTGTACTTGCCCCGGTTGCTGACGGGGTGGCAGAATCCCTTCTCTGGGCGGTTTGTGTCTATGGAGTCCTGGGTAAACAGCGGATGGAGCAGCTCTTCGCTGCTCTCTCCCCTCTTCGCCAATGGATGGTGGTGATGAGCTGCGTAACGTCTGCGTTTCGCGCTGCCAGGCGCACACATTGCATGGGCTGGTAGCGGTGATCTCTGCTCCAGGTACCAGGGTGACCGACACTCGTAAAACACAGACCAGGTGGGTGAGGCAGGTCATTGCTTATTGAACCGACTTTTCTGCTTTCAAGCCCCACGGAGCCCTTCAGGTCACAAGAAGCTGGAAAGCTTCTCTTCCACCCTCAGAACTTGGTCCAGTAGAAGATATGACCTCGCGCGTCTTGTCTGTGTCTCCTCCTGGGACCAACACTGCTACAACACTGCTCCTGAACCGGATAAGTTACATTCTGTTCCAGGGGCTGGATTGGTGCCTACAGCCTGAAAGAAAATTGTACAGGGACTTTTTGGCTAAACTATTGCAGCTCAGCGTTCTCTCCTGCCTCGTCTGAGCCCTGGAGCACTTGCAGATCGGTGCTTGGTCTCGTGTGAGGTCACTGGACCAGATATTTAGACTCCTAATTCCCAGTGATTTCAACAGGAGTTCAGGGCCTAAATACCTGGTGAGGATACAGACTGTCCCATTCTGATTCGCCAGTCCTCCAACGTCCTCTGCCAAACCCAGGATAGGAAAAATCGGCTACTTCAGGAGTGAAATGCAAGCAACAAAAACCTTGTCCCAGGTCACACACCCTGTTCTGTTCCCTTTTCAAGTGAGCTCACTGCCCCAGTGATGTAGGAACCACAAATTCTCCTGTTCTCTTTGCGGATACAGACTAACACGGCTGCGACTCTGACACCAGCTAATCCTAGGTACCAGGCTGGGAAATGGATAAAACCTTCAGGCTGATGGGAGAAAAGGACATTGTATCTCTAGTAACGTGTCAGTATTTTAAGATGCAGGAGACGGGTTCCAGTGTCAGTCACGGGGGGTATTGATCTGCCAGCGATAATTCTGCCGGTGGTTAAATGCCCAGTGACATTAGGGGCTGAAGTGTCACCGCGTTGAAGCGGGAAACTGCTCCCCTCCCCTGTGGTCGTGTTACATCCCAGGGGCCATCCCAGGCAAGGGGAGACCGGGCGCACGGCCAGGGGACACGGGACAGGGTTAGTTAGTATTCGTAGCACACGGCTGGGAGAGCCAGGACTCCTGGGTTCTATCCCCAGCCCTGGGAAGGGTGTGGGGGGCAGAAGCTGTCCTCCGTATAGGCCCTGTGGCTGAGAATGGAGCTGGTTATCACATCCCCAGAGCAGGAGGGACAGAATTGGCTGGGGGGGGAGAGACCCCCCTCGGGGGAAGAGCTGGGAGCCCCAAGGCTGGCAGAGGGGCTATGGGGGTCCCTAGCTGGGGATGTGCAAGGGATGGGCCTCAAGGGGGGGCTATAGGGTCCCAGGGGTGGAACATGGGGAGATGGGCCCCCAGGGCAGGGTTGTTGGGGCCCTGTGCGGGTGGGAGTCTGGGCCCACGGGCTGTTAGGGCCGTGTGATGTTAGGGGTCTGGGCCCCCAGGGCGGGGGTGTCCCCAGCTCCCCCTGGGGCATCTCTGGCCCCTCCCCGTTTCCCCAGAGGCTGCAGCCCAGACAGCGGGATGTGTACGACCAGCTGCGGAGATGATGCCCCCCTCCCTCCTGGTGCTCTTGTGCATGCTGGGAAGACCCTTGTATCGCAGGGTGGGGGTCTCTGCTGGGAGGGGGGGGTCAGACTCACCTGCTCTTTTACAGCTGCTTTGCTAAGATCAATACCCCCCCATCTGCCATAGAGAGAGGTGGGGGGAGCCTGAAGGTGAAACTGGGCCCCAGAGCACCCAGCGGGCGGGGGGGGGGTCAGCTCTGGTTACTCCTGGGGTAATTTTGGGTGCCACAAGGACTCCTCTTAGGATTTATGGGGCCCTGTGCAGTATTATTAACCTGGTGCCCCTGTGCCCGACGGCAGCCCGGGCTCGCCTGTGTATGTTAGAGTCGGGGGAGGGGGGGGCTTTTGAAGGCTTTATTAGGAAAACTGAATGTCTGAAGATCCAAGCATTTAAGGCTAAAGACGAATACTCAGATTGTGCATCTAAAAATCTACGCAAGGATTTTTTAGAGATGTGAATTTATAATCTTCTGCCACACACAGTTTAAAATGTGCTTTAAAAATATTTCATTCAAGGTCCTGCAGAGTGACATGTTCGGAGTAACTATGACAGTGACACACAGCTGGTTTTGTCAGTAAATTCAGAACCTGTCAGTGTATCCCTGGGGGTCGGCAAACGCCTGTGAAATGGCTTCGTTACCCCTCAGTGGCTCCTTAGCAGTTTCACTGCTGTGCTGATGGGCCTGGCCGGCCGGAGGCGTTTTCACTTTCAGGTCCTAGATACTCCCCCACCCAGGAACCTCACCAGGCCGCAGCAGCCAGGGGTGGTGGGAGCGTGCGGGAAGGGTCAGAACAGGGATAGGAAGGGGGCCCCAACTGACCCCCCACACCCCGGCCTCTCGCTGCCCAACTGAGACTTTCCTCCCCCTGCAGCCTCCGTCCTGGGCTCCTGCCTCCAGCCGGCGCCAGCCCAGACCCCAGTGACCATCGTCCTCACCCCGCCGAGCCCTGTGGTGGGAGGGGGCGTCAGCCTGGCCCCACAGCCACCGCCACAGGGCTTCATGTCCTGCAGCTGGTACCGATCAGCGACCCTGATCCTCACCTACTTCCCAGAAACGCTCCCTATTCTGTACGGCGGCCGGGCCTGTTGGGGTCCACTAGGCATAGCTACCAGGTAACTCAGGAGAGTGGAAGGCCACAAGTGCCGATGAAGCTCTTTTGCTCTGGGCCTATCTGAACCCCCAAACTCCATCTTGGGAACTCTCACCTACTTCTCTGCTAACTGTTTACATGCTCTGAAGTAGGCTGAAGCAGAAATGTAATGTCAGCGTTTCTAGCAGATGGCTGCAGTTTCACTCACACTAGCAGAAATAATAGAGATAAGAAGCGGGGTAGTTAGTTTGCAGGCGTCTAACTCAAGGTCGCAAAGACTGGGAAAGTTTTCTCACAAGCTTACGTAGAGCTTATTGTACCAGTTGTCTGGAAGGGAGGGGTAAGGGGGAACAGCCAGACAAAGAGATGTATGCAAACAGTTTGGAGTATAAAAGGTAAAAGTTGTTTGTATTTGTTGCACTGGATTTGAGACATGCTGGTCTCCTAGGGCCATTTCAGAGCTCTGAAATAAACTTGGCTTGCTTTCTCCCCTCGGTGTCTTTATTGGTGCCAAGCACACCGGGCGACGGACCATTGTTGTCCCCTCGAGCCCTTTAGGGCGGGCAACAGTTTTGGCGTCCCTGGGTGGGCTCGAGGCTGAAATTTAGCCTTGCCCGGATCCCTCCAGGTGGCCGACGGATTACGACGACGACTGACGCCCAGAGCTCACCAGTGACTTCATTGGGGGCCTCGGTGGAGACATGATTTGCTCGACCCCAGAGGGCACAACGGTGCAACGCACACAGACAGTGGAGAAGCAGCTGTGGGCGACGGTGAGGAACCGGTCCCGTTGATAGGGCGACAGTGACGGTGCAGAACCG